AGGTAAAGACAGGAGTACTATAACCTTTTTCTCATGGGAACGATCAGCAGAGGTTAAGTGAAGTGGCTACTGCATCAGAAGACTAAGCACGCATGGGAATGCCCAATGTGCAAAAACGTTGAGTGTGATAACATTGCATAACATAACATAAAATAACCTGATCTCTCATACCTGGTCTCTGATATACGATGTCTCACACATAATATCTTATAGCTGCTCTCTTATATCTGGTGACGTATATCTGATCTTTCACATCTGGCCATTAAATGGCTCACATGAGACACACACTCCAACACTATACTTGGTCTCTGTGGACACACTTGCCCCTTGATACCTCCCACTAAAAAAAAAAAATGTGTACACCCACTGACGATTTTCGTAAACCGGCTATTTAAAATTATGGCCGCCATCCAATAAAAAACCAGGATGGGTTCAGAAAACAAAACAACACACGCACTATCCAGAGACGATGACACCAGGTGTATCCAGGTGTAGAAAAGTTACCTGCTCTTGGCAGTAATCCTGGATGATCTGATACCAGGATCTGGACACTGAGGAGATCCCATCACTGAAGGCTTCTTTGGGACGCCACAGAATCTCCTTCGGAAGGAGATCAGATTCATCAAAGGCAGACCTGTAAAGGGGACGGATTTTGTGTCATGACGCGGCACCTTTCAGTCGTTATACTGTTATACTATGCTATAGGAATGTATGTGAGTCATAATCCACGTCATCAAACTAGCAAGACCCGCTTGCGTTGAGAAAAGGCTTTTCTTCTATTTATAACATGGGATATCACGATCATTTTTGTTAATCGTAAGTAGTTAACATGCCTCTTATCAGAAGTAGAGCAATCAAATGCGCCTGAACATGGAAGACCAGGCACCGTCAGCCCCCCTCCCCACTCCCCCCACACGAATATCAGCTTAGAAAATGTGCAGGGTTCAAAGTGGTTCCTTATCCATGCATAGATGTTCCCTTTTCAAGTATTTGTTTAAATATTTTATATTATTGCAAACATGGTATTATAATTATTTGCTATTATTATTATTATTATTATTATTATTCTTAATTACCACTATTATTAGGAACGTTCATTTGAAATCCTTTCTTCTGGCACTTCTGCGTTCTACATGACCATGTTATTTTCATGCAATGAATACTGACCAATGAATAAAAGAACATATACTTATCGTCCCATAATGAAAAGATTCTGTTTGTGATCGCTGAGATGCAGCCAGTGTAGAAAAACTAATAAATGTCGAAGACCATAGTGATAGATGACGCACGAATGTTTTAAAAGGACCTCAGTTGATGACCAATCTTACTCTGCAAGGTCAGGTGCATATTGTTGCAACAGAAAACACAGTCGCCAAAGCTGATGCAGCACACAGGTGAACCGCTGATGAAGCAGACGTACACTTGAGAAAAAATTTGCTGTGTTAATCGAGAGATTTCAAAAGGTTTTATAAACACAATATAGGAAGGTATGTTCATAGTGGGTACCACAGACGTTGACCGACCACCAAAATGATGAACTAATAGGATGGTGTTTGAACCACTTGCTGTGTTGCAGAGTCTGGGATTTCAGGACGATTGTTGTGAACATATGTGTTAAGTTGTTTCTTCTCAGCCATTTAGCTCTCATCCTTTCTGCAATCATTTCTTCCTTCAGTCTCATTCCCTTCCTAATGTGCCTCCCGCACACAACACGGTCCATTGCATTTAGTCCACCTCAAAACCTGTATCATTCATGTCCCGCTTGCACACATCTTTATATTGTAGTAGAGGTCACCTAGAGATCTTCTTCTTGTGACAAGAGGTCAAAAGAGCTTCTGACTGTTTGTACTACTGACCTTATGCTGTTGTAAACTGACAGTGGCTTATGTTGTTGTAAACTGACAGTGGCTTATGCTGTTGTAAACTGACAGTGGCTTATGTTGTTGTAAACTGACAGTGGCTTATGCTGTTGTAAACTGACAGTGGCTTATGCTGTTGTAAACTGACAGTCGCTTATGCTGTTGTAAACTGACAGTGGCTTATGTTGTTGTAAACTGACAGTGGCGTATCCTGTTGTAAACTGACAGTGCTTGTGCTGTTGTAAACTGAGTGGCTTACGCTGTTGTAAACTGACAGTGGCTTATGCTGTTGTAAACTGACAGTGGCTTGTGCTGTTGTAAACTGACAGTGGCTTGTGCTGTTGTAAACTGACAGTGGCTTGTGCTGTTGTAAACTGACAGTGGCGTATCCTGTTGGAAACTCACAGTGGCTTATGCTGTTGTAAACTGACAGTGCTTGTGCTGTTGTAAACTGACAGTGGCGTATCCTGTTGTAAACTGACAGTGGCTTGTGCTGTTGTAAACTGACAGTGGCTTATACTGTTTTAAACTCACAGTGGCTTATGCTGTTGTAAACTGACAGTGGCTTATGCTGTTGTAAACTGACAGTGGCGTATCCTGTTGTAAACTGACAGTGGCTTGTGCTGTTGTAAACTGACAGTGGCTTATGCTGTTTTAAACTCACAGTGGCTTATGCTGTTGTAAACTGAGTGGCTTATGCTGTTTTAAACTCACAGTGGCTTATGCTGTTGTAAACTGACAGTGGCTTATGCTGTTGTAAACTGACAGTGGCTTATGCTGTTGTAAACTGACAGTGGCTTATGCTGTTGTTAATTGACAGTGGCTTATGCTGTTGTAAACTGACAGTGGCTTATGCTGTTGTAAACTGACAGTGGCTTATGCTGTTGTAAATTGACAGTGGCTTGTGCTGTTGTAAACTGACAGTGGCTTATGTTGTTGTAAACTGACAGTGGCTTATGCTGTTGTAAACTGACAGTGGCTTATGTTGTTGTAAACTGACAGTGGCTTATGTTGTTGTAAACTGACAGTGGCTTATGCTGTTGTAAACTGACAGTGGCTTATGGTGTTGTAAACTGACAGTGGCTTATGGTGGTGTAAACTGACAGTGGCTTATGCTGTTGTAAACTGACAGTGGCTTATGTTGTTGTAAACTGACAGTGGCTTATGTTGTTGTAAACTGACAGTGGCTAATGTTGTTGTAAACTGACAGTGGCTTATGCTGTTGAAAACTGACAGTGGTGCTGTGGCTTAGAGTTTAGCGATTGAGGATAACAATTTCATGATCATCGAGTGTTCGCTTCCTGCGGTCAATGTTTAATAACAAATTGATCTCATGGTTTTCTAATAACAGAACGAGACAAGCACCGTGGAAGAGATTGGGAGCTTACCACCTGATATTTCCCTAAAACAACACTGGTACACTGTAGCCAACATTTTCTGTGAAGGGCACATATTAACATTATTATTAAACTAAAACAGTGAATGGCGGAGCAGCTGCTTCTCGAAAACAGAAAACATCCCTCATGTGACCAGGTGTTTCTCTCATAAAATGAAAACATCACTCACCTGAGCAGGTGTTTCTCTTGTAAACTGGAAACATGACTCACCTGAGCAGGTGTTTTTCTTGTAAACTGAAAACATGACTCACCTGAGCAGGTGTTTCTTTTGTAAACTAAAAACATGACTCACCTGAGCAGGTGTTTTTTTTGTAAACTGAAAACATGACTCACCTGAGCAGGTGTTTCTTTTGTAAACTGAAAACATGACTCACCTGAGCAAGTATTTCTCAATACTATTTTTAGGCTGTCGAAGTTCAGGGTCCAGGGAGAGGTAGTAGCTGCTAAACTGATGGTCTAGGAATGGAACTCGCACCTCCAGACTGAGAGAGATACCGTGCAAAAAAAATAATAATTTAGAGGTGTTACAACTGACCAATAGTACGCATGGTAATAAAAAAGTGATGCTACAGCTTTGACTGCTATACCACACTGGGGGATAACTCCTTAACCAAATAGCACTAATTGTGTACCCTCAGGTGCTTCAAAACTTGGAGAATAGTCACCTTGGCTTTCCCCTCCCCTCCCTGCTCCCTTTCAACCTATTAGTAAAGTAATGGTGGCAGCAAATGGAATGGTTTGCCCACTTAGAGAGAATACCTTGTGACACCATACCATACAAAGCATACATGGAACGAGAAGAAGGACGTAGAGCTCGAGGTAGACCAAGAACAAGATGGAAGTAAAACATCAGAGCAACTCTACAACAGCACAATGTGCCTATAGTCGAGGCGGCCAGAAGAGCTAGAAACAGAACCTTATATCTCCTTCGACACAAACAGCGGTAAAAGAGGAAGTGAATAAGAAGAAGAAGAAGAAGAAGAAGAAGGAAGAAGAAGAAGAAGAAGAAGAAGAAGAAGAAGAAGAATGGTGGCTTGCAAGAGACTGTGATGGAGAGTGCAGTTTGTGGAAAGCGAGGCAGGGGTCGACCTCCGCAAAGATGAATACAGGACATGAAAGATAAATTGGCATCAAAAGCACATGAAGCTGGAGAGCTGGCTAGGGAAAGCGATACTTTCAAGCAAGCCATGCAAAGAGCGACGTTCTTTAAAGCACTTGCTGATTGATGTTAAAAGCAAAGGACTCCTTCTTCACGCCAATCGGAACTCGGTGGGTGATGTAGTCAGCATAACGTATGTCACCTTTACCTCAGAAGACTTTACCTGGTACCCGTTTAAGGCATGGTCGACCTAAGAATCTAGGTCACTTTTTTTCGGGGGTCTAAGGCCTACTCTTTAATTTGCTGGATTTTGCTGCTAAAGTTTTTTTGTATCGGATAATTTAACATGATGCAGGCTAACCCTATGTAGATGCCTCACGTGACCTGCATAGTGGGTGCTTGTTTTAATATCCTTGTCTTCCTTTTGACAGACTGTCCAAATTGTATGTGTGCAGTAAGAATGCCAAACTACTGAACATAAAATTGTCAAGTAAACATTAAAAGCGTAAAAAAATGGTGGGATTGGTTTTGCAATGTCCGATGAAGGAAATACAAGTTAACTTAAACAAGAGAGCTGGTAAAGTAGTGACTACAGCAGTGTTTCATGGGCGGGAAGGGTGGGGGCAATTTGATTAATATTAATGCGACAATTTGATGTTTGGTGGGGGGGGGGGGGGTTATGTTTAAATATAGGGGGGGGGGGTTGATTGTTGGAAGGAGTAAGGGTGGGAGGGGGGGTTCAATTGTTGGAAGAAAGAGGGGGGGGGTGGAATTTAGTAAGGGTGCAATTTGATTGTTAAGGGTGCAATTTGATTGTTAAGGGTGCAATTGATTGTTAAGGGTGCAAATGATTGATAAGTGTGCTTTTTGATGGTTAAGGGTGCAATCTGATTGTTAAGGGGAGCAGACTGATTCTGAGTGAAGGCAAATTTGGTTGTTGGGGGGAGGGGGGAGGGGGGAGAATTATTTAAATTTTTAAGGGGCGGGGAGGGGGGGGGGAAACAATTCAAAAATTCTAAAATGGACTAGCACAACAACAACAAAGAGGTTGGGAAATACTGGCCATTCACCTGACAATGTATTTATCCCCAGCTGAAACCATGTTCACAATATGTCTTTATTTCTGACTACGGGACTCCAGGGCAGCTGGGATAGCTTAGTGGCTTGCTCCTCCCCCCCCCCCCCCCCCAACGTTGGTTCCCAGGTAGATTCATAATGAAACTGATACCAGGTAATGACATGGGAAGTAAAGACGGTCAGCGTAATGTTCACCACATCCCCAATCGAGTGCAGATTTAGCTATAACACTTTCTTTACTCCAGTCATCACCGAATGTAAACTCTGTGGGGGATGGGGGTAGATATGGTTGCTCGTCCATTTTTGGACTTAAGTCTTATTCCAGAACGAAAGTTTTGTGTACATATTTTATTTTTGTAAACAAATTCGCCTCTGTAAGCAGGCTGATGGCTCCTCGCCTCCCAGGCAGATGCATTCCGACTTCAGAGGAGACACCCTTAATTAGTCCACATGCTTGTTAAAGGTATAGCAGGTCCATTTTCCCTCCCCTTCCCCACTGGGGCCCCAACAACTCACGCGGGGAGAAGTTGTTCAACATCAGGTCTTTTCATGGATTTTTACACGAAGATTTCCTTACTGGACTTCCTGGTCCGTCCGGCTGACACGGTAATCGGAGCAATTTGAGGGAGGTAATTAGAACGGTATGATGCAGATCATATTACTCAGGAAGTCCGGCCTTGCTTTAAGACAAGAATCATAAATCCAGTATGTCACAATGACAAATTTAAAAAGGGCTCTTTATGTTAATAGACCCCGTGTGTAAAAATAGAATACTGCTCCTAATGTTTTATGCTAAATGCAGTAATAAACTGTCTGTGGCATTAGCATATGAAACTCACTTGTATGCCTTTAAGATGGCATTGTAAAGATATTGAGGTTAATGTAGGTTTGGACATAAATCGTGTTTCTCTGCATCAACTCCCTGACTCTACTCTGACAGCATTGTATACATACATAGGGCCGTATATGATGAAACTGTTAAATGTTTCTGAACTACGACATCTTCTAAGGCTGAATGGGTTGCTTGGGATTTGCCATGCTGGATTGCACACATACAAAAAACTGATCACTTTGAGGCGATGGAGTGGTGAAACTTTTAGATACCAGAATGGAGAGAGAAAAGTGTGGCTCAATGCGCTTTTTGTCCTTCTGTTTCTCCTTTTGTTTTAATTCTTCTTAGTTATTATTATTATTAATATTATTTTTATTACTTTCTTCTTCTTCCTCTCTTCTTCTTCTTCCTCCACAGTTGCCCTTAAAAAGTGCTCGGCATGCTGTGTTGTGGTTTACAGCTAGACTGCAATATACCTTTCAGCATACATCCGATTTCATAAAATCCCTAACTGGGTACCTCTTACAACATGCTTGTGAAACCAGTGTCTATCCCCCCTCCCCTTTTGTGACTGCAGAACCCATATGAAGATGCATGCGTTTAAATTAGTTAAAATATCAACACTGTACAAAAGAAGAAACAAACTAACAACTCAGACACACTGAGTCAATCCAGCAACCTTCTGGAGAGTCAAGCCATGGATATGTTGACAACTGTAAGCTTTTGGACCTATCACTGATTGTACAGTGATATGTATTGTATAGAAAGAGTTCAGTCATTCAATCAGGTGTCATCTTCACAATGAGGGTGAGCTGTAATGGACCTCCAACATGCTCCGTGTCTTGACTTGACTGTACACTCTCTCAGACTTTTGATGCTGTCCTACCATGTGTATCGTTGTCTACCTTTTGCTCTCTTGCCCTCAACCTTCCGTCTAGTGTGGTTTTAAAAAAAATGTTGTGTCTTTTAATGTGGCAAAAATATTTCAACAGTTGGGAAAATCATACTTTAAAAAAAAAAAATAATAAGAAACTCGGGTCTATTTAAAAATAAGGTATGTCTAGTAAAGTAAAAGTCATGCCGGCCGCCTTTACTTTCCATGACTGTATCTGGTACCAACTTAGGGCCTGGGAGAACAGAGCCAAAAAGTTAATTTCACTTTCAGGTTCAAACCTATGACCTTCTGATCCGCATGCAAGCATCTAGCTGCTACACCACGGAGGCTCCTTGAGGTATATGGTGCTAGATAATATTTTATAGACTAGAGGGCACATTGAATAGACCAGTGTGATCATCATCACCCAGGAGTGTCTGTGTATTTGACAACTGAAGTACTTCTGTCTTACCAGAATTCAGCCAGTCTTACCAGGAAACTCTATTTAAAAAAAACCAGCAACCCGCTCCATTATGAGCCAATCTCGCTTTTACACGAGTCGCCCCCAAGAAGTGCCCATCATACAAAACTGTCTGCACCGCAGGAGAAATTAAACGCTGATGAACAGCCAAGATGGTCAAATACACGTACCTCCAGGCAGCCGTGGCGCGATCTGAGCGGAGGACATCAAACATGTAGAGATCCTTCAAGAGTCGCCTGCTCTCCTTGTCGCCTTCTTCTGGGGACGGGGCGTGATGGAAATAGATGTAGCCCTGGGCTACCTCATCGGCGCCCTCTCCTGACAGAATGACTTTGGTGTTGGTCTTCTCTCTGATGTACTTGCTGAGGAGAAACATTCCTGGGAAAGAAGATGCAAACAGTTTTGGAATCATAATAAAAACATGTTAGATTAGAGACGTAGCCATGTTAGATCAGTGAGAGAGCAATATTAGATCAATGAGGGAAACATGCTAGATCAATGAAGCAATGATGTCAGATCAATGATGGAAACATGTTAGATCAGTGCAGGACCTATGTTAGATCAATGAAGGAAATATATTAGATCAATGAAGGAAACATGTTAGATCAGTACAGGACCCATGTTAGATCAGTACAGGACCCATGTAAGTTCAATGAAGAAAACATGTTAGATCAATGAAGGAAACATGTTAGATCAATGAAGAAAACATGTTAGATCAATGAAGGAAACATGTTAGATCAATAAAGGAAACATGTTAGATCAATGAGGAAACAATGTTAGATTAGTGAATCATAGCAGGAGATAATTTTAAATCACCGGCAGCAGACTGAAATCACTGGATGTCTGGTGATGGTTTTATTCAGGTTATTATTTTTATTAACAGTTTCTCTTTCATGAGAACTAAAGATGTATTACATTTTTAGGTGCTTTTCAGATAGACAGACAGTCAAATACACACAAACAAACATATAGAGAGACAATCAGTCAGACAGACAGACAAGATAGATAGATAAGACAGACAGACAAGACAGATAAGACAGACAGACATATAGATAGATAAAGAGAGAGAGAGAGAGGAGGGGGAGGGGGAAGAGAACCAGCTTTATTTTTAACTGGGCACGCAGGCACCCCTCTTACAAACAGCAGTTGTATTTTATCATTTACACAGACCGTTCTGTAATCCGCCACGTTAGAAGCTCGTGTGCTTTCATGGCTCAGTTTGGAGGGAGAGTGGTGGAGAAAGATTCTGGAGCTTTTGTCGTAACTACAAGTAGTCTGACTATGGAGGTCATGGCTGTGACTAAAGCAGTAACTTGGCTAGAGACACAGACTTTCATTGGGGCATGTTTTCTCAGTGACTCGATGAGTATGCTCAGGAAGATAGAGAAGGGCTGGGTCCGAAGGCAGGGGTTAATGGTTCTACAGAATTCACGGCTGACAAGGATTAGTTTCATTTTCGGGCCAAGACATTTGGAGGTACAGGGAAATGAGCAAGCTGATTGACTTGCAGGTAAGGCTACTGTGAAAGCCGGACAAGCCATGGACCAGGCTGAGATAATGAATGCTCTAAGAGAGTTAAGACGTTTGCGTGAACTAACTGAGAACTGTGAATCTGCAACCATGGTCAGACTGCAAGAACAACATGTTAAACGGGGTGTCGACAAACAAGAACACTACTCGGGTAGCCAAAAAACAAGAATAAACCAACACAGAACTGGTGTTGTTAGCCGCTACACGCTGCGGGATTTACTGAGGAGGGGATCAGATCACTTATGGACTGAGTGGTTCGACATGCAATTAGGATAATTTGTCGACTTTTTTATCAATATTTAATAATAATCACATTATGATAATCAAAACAAACAAAAAAGCAGGGTTAGTAAAATGAATGCACCCACTCGTGCACTCACACACGCATACATACATACACACACACGCGCGCGAGCGAACACACAGGCACACAAAGACAGATATATATACACACACAAGTCACTCACATATGCACATTTTTTTGCATACATACGTTCACACATATACAAACGCAGACACAAAAACACACATAGACATTCACAGCCACACATACATGCATACATATGTACATACAGACAAATGCATGCACACACAGACACACACGCAGACACAAACACACAGACACGCACGCAGACACATAAACACATGCACATAAACACATGCACATAAATGCACACACAGACACACCCACCAAAAGACACATACAGACACACATGCAGACACTTAGGCAGCCATACACACCCATACACACATACAAAGACACCAGCATACGCATACAGACACACAACAAACACAACAAATACACACACACACACACACATATATATATATATATATATATATATATATATATATATATATATATATATATATATATATATACGTAGACACAGGCAGACAGATAGATGGATGGATAGATAGACTGATGGATGGACAGACAGACAGATAGATATATTAGATAGATTAAATTCACAGAATGATAGATTTCTCAATACCACCTATACCCATGCTGACACGCATGAATGATCCTAGCTCTGGCGTGACCGAGTGATACAATCTGGCCAGTTTGTTTTTGGCTTGGGCAGTGAAGAAGCGCAGCTTGAATGGGAGCAGAGATTTCATTACTAGAATAAATTCGATTCTGTCAAGAAACTCAACAAGAAGGAAGTGGTGGTTGTTGTGGTAGGGGTAAAGGTGGAGAAATAAAAATATTTATGAAGAAGCAGCAGCAGAAGAAGAAGAAGAGAAAGTGGAGGAGGTGGGGAGGGAGGAGACGGAAAAGGATTAGCAGGAAGAGAAGAAGAAGAAGAAGAAGAAGAAGAAGAAGAAGAAGAAGAAGAAGAAGAAGAAGAAGAAGAAGAAGAAGAAGAAGAAGAAGAAGAAGAAGAAGAAGAAGAAGAAGAAGAAGAAGAAGAAGAAGGAGGAGGGGAGGGGGAGGAGGAGGAGGAGAAGAAGAAGAAGAAGAAGAAGAAGAAGAAGAAGAAGAAGAAGAAGAAGAAGAAGAAGAAGAAGAAGAAGAAGAAGAAGAAGAAGAAGAAGAAGAAGAAGAAGAAGAAGAAGATAAAGAAGGAGGAGGAGGAGGAGGAGGAGGGGAAAAGGAGGAGCAGGAGTTGGAGAACAGAAGAAGAGGAAGAAAAACAACAACAAAAACAAAAACAACAGCAACAACAACAACAAAAGCAACAAGACGAGCAGTATAAACTGTAAAAACCCTAAGAAAAAGAATGGAGGATACTCACAAAAAGGAAACGATTAGGACAAGAAGACATACACAACTATGTACTTCTCAAATTTACTGTCAAAGACAAGACACACACAAGTATGTACTTCTCGAATTTACTGTCAAAGACCAGACACACACAACTATGTACTTCTCCTATTCCTTGCCAAAGAACGAGTTCAGACAACAAGACACCCAAGCAACTCGCTACTTCTCTAGTTCTCTACCAAAGAACGAGTTCAGATGAGACACACACACACACACACACACACAACTATGCACTTCTCTAACTCCGTGCCAAAGAACGAGTTCAGACAAGACACCCACACAAATATGTACTTCTCTAACTCCCTACCAAAGAACGAGTTCAGATGAGACACATACACACACACACAACTATGGACTTGTCGAACTCCCTGCCAAAGCCCAGGGGGGACAACTCACACGGCGGATGGACATAGAATTAGGACCTAAGAATACCGGACGATGAATGATACAGACAGATCACAGCGGCTGGTTAATCAATGGTCTGGCTGTCCACTGGAGAAGTGACCCAGCTGAAAGAAGCAGTTCTACGTACAGTGTGTTTCTAAAACTCATGCGGTTAACAATAACATAGCCCCAATATGGCACGCAGTATTTTATTATTTTAAAACTCCACCCCGTCTGTACTCAGGTGCTTTAAAACCCCAGCCCGTATGTACACAGGGGCTCTAAAACCCCAGCCAGTCTGTACTCAGGGGCTTTAAAACCCCAGCCCGTCGTGTACTCAGGGGCTTTAAAACCCCAGCCCGCCTGTACTTATGGGCTTTAAAACCCCAGCCCGTCTGTACCAAGGAGTGGGTCCTAATATACCCTAACGGCTGGGCGGGGTTTCTGGGACTAGTACAAAGGTGATTCTCATCCGAATAGTGGCACTTTGTGTCACCGATCCTGGTGAGGTTGAACGTCACTCGATCACACAGCCATACTTTTACACAAAGCTCCCCTACGGATCAATACGAATTTGTGCATGTCCTTGTGACTCTATAATTTAGAATGGCACAGATGCTGCTGTTTTCTTAAAGCGGCAAATTTCTTTTGTCTTTATTTGACTAATAATTTATGTGACCCTGAAATGTCGAATAAAAAATATTAAAAAAAAAAAAAAAAAAAGAGTATACAGTAGTTGACACAAGTGTGGAGATTGCTTGGAAATCAGTTCACAAGTGCGGCGATGCGTGGCGATTACTCCGATAGCCTATTCCCGGATCAATGAAAAATCCACAAGTCACGAGAGGCTTATTCTGGAGATGGCCACCTGAGAAAGAAAAACGCCAGTGACAGGTGTGCGATCTGATGTTTAAAAGTTCCCCAACTCGGTTTACGCAAGTTACTGTAAGCTTGCTGTCTGCTTGCTTTGAATCGAGGTCTTGTTTTCAAATTTTTTTTTTTTTTCTGCATGAGAGCCCATCATTCTAACCGTTCGGGAATTACGTTAGTTCGACGTTAGTCTCCCCAAATCCCACCCACATACACATTAGCTCACTTCTGATTAGTAGTTCCTGAGCCCCGTGGCTTCGCACAAGATTACGGGTTTGTTAAACAATGCCGTTTATATCGCACGTTGTTTATTTCAGCACGCCAGCACTTGTAACACTCCAAAAAACATGGAGAAATAGGGTCTAAAACAATCCGCTTAGACAGTGCTGCAACCTATGTCACAGGCATTCTCTTTCTCGAAATGAAAACGTAAATTCAAGAGATCACAGAAACCAAACAACAGAGCGACACACACCCGTAACTTTCAGAAAAGTTGACCAGCCCAAAAAACTTGTGAATGAAAAGTGACCTACTCTATTTGGGGAGACTAACCGGGAATTATTTTTAACAGGTTGCATGCCAAATTTCAACAACTGACAGCAAACGGTTACTAAGTTACAGACAGATTTTCACAGTTTTGCAGGACTGTTGGAACGCACTATGCTGTAGGTGTCCTCCTCTTCTTCTTTGTTCACCGGCTTCAAGCTCCGACGGAAAGTAGTAGTTGTTCGTCAATCTGGACTTCGCCTTTGTGCCAGGGCCTGATTTTTGCGTGTACGTCCGTTTTACTGTTATATGTGTGTGCAGTTGGTTATTTCCTTGCTGC